AAACCCTAAGCCCTAAACCCAAGGTCTGGGCAGAAGCTAGTATCCCCAGGTCTGGGCTGAAAGCAGCTCTGAGCAGCCCCAATTAAATTCCGTTTTTGTGTGCTTGGATCCTTTTTTTTAGGGGCAAAGCACTGAAACCTCAAATTTCCTTGGCCTTAAAGCCCAATACCCGGCCCCCTTTTGGGCTGCTGGGTCTTTTCGGGAGGAGCCAGCCTGAGCATGAAAGCTAAAACATAAAGGACCTAAAGCATATTCATACAGATAGATAGATAGATACATATCGATATAGATAGATACCATTAGGCATGTAGATAAATGAATAGAAAGGTTACAGACTTGAAGCCATTCTCAAGCATGCCCGAGCAGAAGCAGACACCCTGGCTGGACCCAGTTCACTTTGGGGGTCTAGGCCCTGGGTCCGAAACGACAAAGCCAAGTTGTAGACCACCCTAAACCCTAAGCCCTANNAACCCTGTAAACCCTGTAAACCCTGTAAACCCCATAAACCCTATAAACCCTATAAACCCTATAAACCCTGAACCCTAAATCCTAAATCCTAAACCCTAAACTTGCTGCCACGGATCTGGAAGAAATGGCCCCTGGCCCTTCGGCGTATAGGCTGCGCACTGAGACAAACGCCGTCCATCACCTCGGTCTGCATTGGGCTTCTAGAGGTTCTGTTCTGACCGCCGCCTTGAATAAAACCGCCCTAAAACCCTAAAACCCTAAACCCTAAACCCTGAAACCCCAACGCGCTTAACCCTAAACCAGGCCCTAAAACCCTCTCAACCCCTGCAGCCCTGCACTATTTAAACCCACACCAAGCCCAAAGCCCTGAACCCTCGTCCCCCTCAAGCAATCAACCTTTGAGCACAAGACGTTAGGGTTTGGGGTTTAGGGTTTAGGGCCCTTAAACCCTAAACTCCGTTCTAAGCAGAAACGCTGAACCTCTGAAGGCCTAGAAGCCCTAAACTCAATCAATACCCTTAAACCTAAACCCTCTCAATGCCCACACCATTAGGACTCCAAACCTCTGAAGCATTCCCGAAACCCAAATTGCCCTAAACCCTAAACCCTAAACCCTAGGCCCTAAACCCTAAACCCTGGGCCCTACACCATAAACCCTGGGCCCTAAACACCAAAAACTTAGAGCCTGAAATCTGAAATCCCACTTCCTCCAGAGACCCAACCTGGGAAACCCCAAGCCGCCCTGCCCAGAGACTCCAATATATCCTTTAATTAGGGAATATATACTTTAAACTCAATCTAAGAGCCCAAATATGGTTTAACGTAATCATATTCCGTAATTTTAATTTGGAGTCTTTTAAACCCTAAACCCTAAATCCTACCGTCCTAAGTACCACTTAGGGACCTGGGGGCGGCGCGCCCTTCCCTTTCCGCGCTTGCGTGGCCTCTTCCGCCACCTGAGGCGTTCGGTGGCGTTTAGGGCTTAGGGCTATACCCATAGGCTCCTAAGTAGTTCCTTTTTGTTCAAATTCCAAAAGGAGCTACTAAGGAGCCTTTGGGTACAGTATAGGGATTCGGGATTAGGCTTTCGGGATTGATGGGTGAGGGTTTCGGGACTAGGAATTGGGTGTTGCCGGTGAGGATTTGGGGAGTAGGGCCTAGGTTTTAGGGTTTAGGGCTTAGGGGGCGGACCTCATTACTGGAGGGCATCAGCTCGCAATACAGGCGCCTAGTGTAGTGACTTCCCCGTTTGGGGCTAGGGCTTCGGGGGTTTTAGGATACAGGCTTGGGTTAAACAGCTATACACAGAGGCCGTTGAAGAATGTGCTCCAAGGACTACCAAGGACCCACAAAAGGGCTCCAGAAGCTTTGATGCGCTCTGCCGCAGAACCACTTCTGCTGCAGTCGCTACGGCTGCTACTCCTCCTCCACGTCCTCCTACTACTATGACAACGTCTGCTACTACAACCACAACTGGGTCTGCAACGATGACACCGACAACCGCAACGACGACCACAACGACAACACCGACGAGTGTTTCTTCAACCGCTCCTAGTGTCATCGACACTTGAGCCTTTCCACTGCCACAGCGATGACTGGTGCTAGGCATAACTCTATAGTTACCCTCCTTCGATGGTAATGATGTTACTGATGATGAAGATGATGATGGCAAAGATGATGATGGTGATGGGAATATCATCACACAGATGGTGATGATCGCGTGTAGGAAATTGATGAGAAACCTCCTATCCCCATATTGTATCTAACAGCATATAGTATATAGTTCTCAACACCACAAAATCCAGACTCTACACATACGCGTCTGTCCGTAACTGTCAGCACCATTTCTCCCAGACCATCTTTCGGCCCCCAGGTTGCTCCTGATAATCCCAATCCGAAACAGTACCCTTTACCCTTTATAGGGTTTAGGGTTTAGGGGAAACCTCAACCAGTTCTCTTTCGACTGAACTCTAAACCCTGGAACGCAACAACCTGAAACCTAACCCCAGAAAGTCCCAAAGCCTTGAACCCTAAACCACCAAAAAACTCCAAACCCTAAACCCCAGAGACTCCAATATCCCATAATTAAGGAATATACCTTAAATCTAATTAAGGTTCCTATTATAATTTGAGGTATATTCCTTAATTGAGGGATATTGGAGTCTCTGGGCCCTTTATGTCAAGCGCTATCCTTCTCCCAGAGGGGCCTCAACAGAGGAGCCTACAGCACCGAAGCACATGGTGTCCACGTACATAAAGGCTGCCTGCTCTGCTGAATAGCTCGACCCTTGGGGTGATTACATCATGGGGGTTTTAGGGTTTAGGGTTTGGGGTTGCTTTCAGGGTTCCATGAGGATGTCTATAAGGGTTCCTGTAAGGGTACCAGACCCCATGAAATGCAGGGCCTTTGCGGGATATCCCAACCCGGGAATAAGACACGTAGGTAACCAAACAAGGTACTATAAACCCTAAACTCTAAACCTATATTTCAGGTCTAGGTCGGGGGTCACTTGAGCCTTTCTGGGGCAGGAGAGGGGGAGGAGTCTCGATTACAGTCGAAAGAAGCTTTCCTTGTCTGTGGCTCCAAAACCCTGCTGATTCAAGAGTTCTAAATGAATAGCTATTGAAGATATGATTAACCTACCTTTCTCGTGGGGTTTAAGATTCAAGTTTGATTGTGCGCACTGTGCGGGGCGATATTCGAGGGACCGAATGCGGACATATGTAGAGGGGTGTCGGTTTTGGGATAAGGTATCGGTTCTCCACAGAATTGGCTTCATTATCTATATGGGTCATATGAGTCTTCATGATCCACAAGGGGCGGTCTTGTGTCTAGGATCGGCCAACAAATCTCGCACAAACAGATACGTGCCATTGCTGAGCCGCTTTGACTGTGACATAGCTTCGACATGGCACAGGTTCTGCTGCCTTCATCATGGTTAAGTACGGAAGCTGTTATGCGACGACTGCTGGCCCGTGTTCTGTTAGCTTCAGTACGGATGGGTACAGAAAGGGTTATGGGTCGATTTGGCCGAACACCCAAATCAAAGTGGTATCGGTATGGCATCGATTTGGGTATCGTCTTGGACACACATCCACACATGATTTTTGTGGCTGGACTTATTCTGACTGCTTGTTGTACACATCCAAGACAAGTCAATGCAAGCAGCGCCCATAACCAAATGTGTAGAAAGCCACACTAAAACAGTCAGCGCACAGCACCAAAAGAGCAAGCACGCCTAAACCTCAAGATACAACATGAATTGTAGGCAATCTTGCTGCCTCTGCAGCAACACCAATACACATCAATCACATTCAACAGGGGTATCGGTTTTGGGATTTGGTATCGTTTCCCCATGAAAATCAACATTGTCCTCCTGTAGTGCTGACACAAGACGCTCTAATAACGCCTTTCGCTCGTATTATGTTTAATGCGCAATAGGGGCCCTAGATCCTTGGCAGCAGCAGCAGCAGCAGCAGGTGTTGTTGTTGTTGTGGTTGCGGTTTGACTTGTAGTCGTGGTTGTGGTGGTGGTAGTAGTCGTGGTAGCAGCAGCAGCAGCAGCAGCAGCAGCAGCAGCAGTGGCAGTAGTAGCAGAAGTAGCAGAAATAGCAGAAGTAGTAGTAGTAGTAGTAGTTGTTGTTGTTGTAGTGGTAGTGGTAGTGGTAGTGGTAGTGGTAGTGGTAGTGGTAGTGGTAGTGGTAGTAGTGGTAGTAGCAGTAGCAATAGCAGAAACAATAGCAGTAGCGGTGGTAGTGGCAGGGGGGATGGGAGTAGGAGTAGTAGGACGAGTAGGAATGGGAGTAGGAGTAGGAGGAGCTAGGGATCATGTTCATCTGCATGGAAGTCTCAAGTGGCTGGAACTTTTTCACTCTCTGGTTCTTTCTTGAATGTGACACCCTCGACGAGGTTGCGCCAAGCGGCTGGAACTTTGTAGCCCTTTGCTCTCACTCGCAGGCTTGTTTGTTGAATGTGTCGCCGTCGACGAGGTTGCCCCAAAGCTTGTCGGGATCAATCAGCGCCTCTCCGGCAAAGAATAGAAGTTGGTCACATTTCTCTTTCGCTGCCCTCTGCCAGCCCCAGACGCCGACTGTGGACACATACCTCAAGCGAAGGAGGACCCTAAACCCCAAGCAAAGGAGGACCCTAAACCCTAAGCTAAGGAGGATCCAGGAAGGAACCCTAGCCTAAAAGCATGGGCTTCTTGCTTTTTCGGGTCTTGGGACTGGAACGACAATAAGTAGAGACCCAGAGACTCCAATATCCCTTACTCAAGGAATATACCTCAAATCTTACTACGGTTCCTACTATAGTTCAAAGTATACTCCTTAGTTAAGGGATATTGGAGTCTCTGGGGACATGCAGCCTTCCCTAAGCCTGAGGCTCCATGTGCCCATTTACCAGGTATTGAGGCCTTACAGTACCTGTCTATCTATCTATCTATCTATCTATCTATCTATCTCTATATATATATATATATACATATAGATATATAGGGACCCCTTTACGTAAGGCCTAAGTATCTACTATATGGGTACATGGAGCCTTAGGGAATGCCTAGGGACATGCAGCCTCCCCTAATAAAAAAAGGCACAAACATCAAACCCAGAGACTCCAACATCCCTTAACTAGGGAATATACCTTAAAATTACAGTAGGAACCCTAATAAGATTTAGGGTACATTCCTTAATTACGGGATCCCTAAACCCTAAACCCCTAAACCCTAAACACCTCAACCCTAAACCCTAAAGAACTTTTGTCCGAGTCACTTGGGCCAAGGTTTTTGCTTCGCCTCGTCCTGGTAAAACGTCTGCCAGGTCCCCTCTTTGGCCATGCTGCACCTTACTTCCCCAGTATAGCCACAGAATTGAAAGGCAAAGCTTGCATGATTTTTGTAAGAACACAAAAACAGTTTAAAGAATGGATATTGGGTATCTAAGCGACAAGATTTTCTGGCACTTCTCCCGGGCCTGCGTCTTTGCCGCCGCCATCATCGCCTGCAAGTTCGCGTTCTCTCTCCAGCTGCATGTGACTCGCGTGAGGGCCGGCGAGGCATTCTTTGTCTCAACACCACATATCGGGGTTTGTTTTCGGTTGTTCCGCTTTCCCGATTCAATTATGTAAGGCTGGCAGAGCACGAACTCGGACCGCCAAAGGGTCACCCAGCTGGTGCAGTCCCCGTACTCCAGTCCAGAGCACGTCTGAGATGCAAAAATCAACCAATGCTATCGGCTAAGAATCTGGACACTAGTCATGAAAAGAAAAAACAATCAACGTGACTGATTATTCAATTACCTTACTGCTGCTAGAGGAATTCCTGCCTTCCTACATTACCACAAGTACCCTAAGCTGTCTGCATTGTGGTCGATTCCGTCTTATGGGTACTGAAAGATGTGGCCCATCCGCCCTGACACACCCTGCTTAGCATGCTTGGAGCATCATGGGACTAATAAGTATGGCTACAAGTACCTTAACTGCTTGGGGTTATAAGTACTTTAACTACTTGGGGTTATAAGTACCTTAACTACTTGGGGTTATAAGTACCTTACCTACTTAGGGTTATAAGTAGTAAGTATACTTACCCTAATAGAAACGCTAGAACCTAAGTAAAATGATCCTTTCAGATCCCTTGTAGAAGCATCTTAGATCCCTTTTAAGGAGCCCTGTAAACCCAACCCTTATAGGAACCATCTTAGATCCCTCTTCAAGGAGCCCTGTAAGGAACCCTAAAACCCTCTTACAGAGCCCTCATAGAACCATCGTAGATCCCTTTTAAGGAGCCCTGTAAGGAACCCTAAAACCCAACCCTTATAGGAACTATCGTAGATCCCTCTTGAAGGAGCCCTGTAAGGAACCCCAGTGCAGCCAAGGGGCATAGTACTCCCTTCCAAGAGAGGCGGACCGGGAACCGACACCGCCGGCGTGGAACTGGGCAGTCTTGCAAGCACCCGAAGCCTTGACGGTTTAGGGTTTAGGGTTTAGGGGTTTAGGTCTCGGGATTCGTGGAACATATTAATTGAAACTAGAGATGGGGAGTTTAGGGTCTTTCGGGATTCTTTAAGGCTTCTATAAGGTATGTAGACCTTCTAGATGGCTCCCATAACAGAAACTACCCCCCTGAAAATGTCCTAGAACATAGGGGCCTTACCAATTACAGTAGGTTTTTGGAATATGACTAGTATAGCCACTACCAACGGACCCTTATAGGGAAAGAGGCAGAGCTCTCCAACGTGGCCACGTCGGTCGCACGGTGAGCCCAAGTCAATAAGCCCAGGAGGGGCAAGGCCTGCTTTAGGGTTTAGGGTTTAGCGTTCTAGGGCGTAGAGGTTTGGGTTTCAGGGTTTAGGCTTCAGGGTTTAGGGCGTAGGTTTTAGGGTTTCAGGGTTCAGGGTTTAGGGTTTCAGGGTTTTGGGTTCAGGGTTTAGAGTTCAGGGTTTTGGGTTTCAGGGTTTAAGGTTTAGCTGTCTATGATGCCTGCTGTGGCTATTGCTCTATCTCCATCAGAACGCAACTTATGACATATCCGGCTCAGACTGGACCTGAGCCTTCAATGGTTTGTACCGGCAGTGTAGCTGATTGTCCTGGCGCTAGAACGATCGGACATATGCACCTTCGAGATTTTGCGCTTTCAGCTCCTGTTCCGCCCTCTACGACCATCCCGGTCCTGCACAACTTTTCACACTGCCATGAGTACACCCTAAGCCCCCTTTCTAAACCCAAAACCTTGATTGGTCTGAACCCAAGGGTCGCGTCAAATACTTTTTAGAGTGTAGGTGTACACACATGCATGCATGGGTACACGGACCTGGGTATGTGTTGCCGCTGCTCCACTAACCATATAATATACACAAACAAACAAATATGCATATTCATTATATATGTATGTATGTACAATGTGTGCATGCATGCATGTCTGTATGCATATACATACATGCATACATACATACAAACATACACACATACGTACGTATGTACATACATACACACATACACACA